GACTTCAAACTACCAACACTCCACTGTATGTCAAATTAAACCACTTCAATAGTACTCATCTTACCTTTTCTCTGCTTTTGNGGGGGGGAGGGTTTGGTTGTTTTTATACTCTTTGATCACCTATGAACAATCAACAACATTAACCTTATGACAATTTTAATACCACCGACTTTTGACCTCGTTTCATTTCAGATTAATTAATTCAATTATACCTGCTTTTGATATGATTTGCACTCTTGCATTTTTTTTTCATTCCGAATAGATTCCTATTTTTTTTTAAAAAAAACAATAATTTTTGGTACTTTTAGCTTTACAAAATGGAGATACAATGTCACACTATCCCTTCAAACAAACTCGCCAGGTTAATCGCTATTGTCCTATTCTTATCATTTTAATACTTCTGTTACTTCAAACACCCTGATCACCCTTTTAAAATCCACCTTTTGCGTGCCTCTTGTTACACTTAGTGTATGCGCAATATATGGGCTAATATTAGAAGTCGCTGAACTCACATTGCCAATATATATATATATTTGTTCCCTCTAAATTTTAAGGGAGAATTTGAATTGAAGCCGTAAATCAAGTCGTTTCTTCTTCTCCTCATTGCGTCGATTTTCCAAGTGCTTTGGTGGTTTATAGTTAATGAGAACATCTGAGTAGTGTGAGGTAATCAAATGGAAACCCTTCACAATGGATCAGATGACCAGAACGATGAATCAGCTGTTGATAGGGACTCTGTTAGTAAAAGGCCGAATGCGAGAGGGAAGGGGGTTAGTTTGTTACCCAAAGTAGGCATGCTTAATATTTCTATTCAAGACACAAAGTTAATAATATTTTCCTCGGTGGTCTCATCTGAAATTGAGAAATGACAATGTAGTTCAACAATTTTCTTCTTGAAGTTTCGACGTTCAACTCTATAATCAACCTATTTTCTTTGCCATTTTCTTAGATCTCATACTTTGGACTATTTCCTGACAAAGATGCTTCAGTGAGGACCTTCGATAAACTTGCTGTAATCATCAGTAAATTTTGGAGCGATTTTCAACCCCATTGGAAAATAAAGTGGGTTCATATTTTCCTAGTCATGTTTCTCTGGGATATGGGGGAATTATTGTTTGTGTTTTTGCTGTTATTCACATTTTTCTTTGATAAAGTACGATTGTCCGAAAGTTCAAAAGATTGGTGATCTTAAGCTCTAGGATCAGCCATTCTATTTCCTATATCCTCTTTTTATTTGAAAAAAAGATAACTTTGTGTGCTTGTAGGAATCTCCAGCAATTCTGTCTTTCCATAAAGATTTCATTCTTCGGAAACGTTAATGCAAGTCACTTTTGTCATAGCAGATTGGAGTACACTAACTGCTAAAATTAGGATGGTTTTATGAGCTCTAATCACTACAAAAGCTACAATTTTTACATTTGCTTATTAGGATATTGAACTGATCGAAACCTACTTAAATTTCCACTTTACTAAAATGCGTGGTTCCAATTGGGCTGAAAAACGGTAATGATAGCATCGTAACTGTAGTCTTTCTTGATAAAGGCGAATCTGTACTCATGAAATGGTTTTGCATTATGGCCAATGCCAGGGGCTTATGTTGGTATCTTCTAATTAGTAGAAGAGTGGGAATGCCCTGCCCTTTCAGGGAAGGAGGCGGGGGACACAAACTCCCGGTTTTGTTTTACTTCTTGTTGTCACGCAACCAATCCTTCTCTCTCTCTCGCCTTTTCCTCCCAATTCACCTCCCGAAAGGCAGCATCTAATTTTCTCCCATTTCATTATGTGAATATTATCTTGCTTTCTCTTTATTGGGAGAGATTAACCTGATTCTCTCGTCTTATTTGTGTGCTTTGATATGAAAAATGCATTCCTCTTTAAGGTTCTTGAAACATTCTCATGTCGGAGGCATCATTTGGGTTGGCCTAAAGGGCTTAAAACCAGCGCTAATTAGGTATATTTGGTGAGAAAGAGGGAACAAATTGGATGCTGAACTCTAAAAGCAAATCAATGTCCCTTTGCTGTAACATTAATTCTTATTAGAGATCATTTGCGTGGATGCTTTGTGTCATGGACCCTTCGTGAGTGCTGTGTGCAAGGTAAGAATGCACCGGCAAAACTCAAGAATGCCCAGAATTCTTCCTTCCCCTGCTCTGATGTCTGTTTTGGAGGATTGGTGGAGAGGCCTTTACGTCTTTCTTTGTGACTGCAATTAGAAGTGGCCGAAATTTTTGGTAACTTCAGTCGTTGGAAAAATCTTGTTCATCTTACCCATGCACGTTACCCGATTCCCCTTGGCTTTCGTTGGACCTCCTCTATTGTCTCCTTTGTTCAGGCTATTCTTAACAAAGGCTCAAATTACTTCCAGTCCTCCTCTCACAAATCAAAATTTATCATTTAATTAATTTTGAAGACGCCCTCTTTTAGTTATTAACTTAAATGGATCAATTACTTTGAAGTTGTTGACGTGTGTTTTTTAAGAGCAAAATAAAATAACATTAATAGCTATTGCTTAAAGGGTGTTTCCTGGGAGAGGGGAGGGGGGGGGCTCAAGCCCCATTTGGCAAAATGTTTTTCAACGCTCAAACTTTAATTGCCCACTCTTTGTGCTTCAGGGAAAGTTGAGTTTTTGTCATGTGAGTGGTGAAATTCGATTATTGCGAAAAGTAGCTATATTTACTTAATGCTCTTTATTTAAGTCTTATGTAAACGGAGGACTTCACGAAGACTATAAGGTGGAGCTTTTGATTGAATTGTCATGTTCATATTGACTTGCTTTTGTGGCAACATTGGGTACTTTAGCAATAAATGAAATCAAAAGTGTGAGTAGTAATGAATCCTTACGAAATGAAGTCTTAACTGCGCAAGTTGCACGATTTGACTATAAGGTTTACTTTCTTATTTGCTTGTAGGTTGAGAGTCGTTGAAGATGCTGATCTTCGTTACTGTGAAATGGCTAGATGGAGAGTTACTATGGTTTCTGAAGACAGGTCGGAATTTGAGGTTCGTTTTGTGTCAATATGTGCCATTCCTATTAATCCTGGAAATTTGGCTAATAAAAATATGGGGAGAGAGTGAAGCTAGTTGTCTTTGAGTCCATTACTGAAGGTGAATATTAGTGGATACAGTCGTGGTTGAAACAGTCGTCCACTTTGTCGCCATACAGATAAGCAACTGAGCCTCTAACGCATACTTTGATTAAATGTGAACGGTGGTGAACACGGATTAATAACCACGATGGTGTTCTCGATTCCACTGTAATTATCAGAATTTCTTTGCCACTTGCTTATGTTGATTAGTGAGAATCGCCGATCCAGAACACCAAAATACTAAATAAGTGTTCATTGCATAATGGTGTTCTACTTTTATTCAAGTTTCGATAGAAATTTCTAGAAACTTTATTTCTTTCAGGTGGCATCACTTTCTCTCCTTGGCGACTGGGTAAGCAGAAGAGGGGGCATTAGATCATCCTCAGACGGTGCCTTCCCCTCGATGGTGCGTCTTCAGTAACTGATTGCTTTTGTTGACAATTTTTTTTATTGTTCTAAGTTCCCAGTTGTGGTTACACTATTAAGGTATTCGGTGAAATGGTCAACTTGGTGAACTTCATCGCGGCTGTTCTAAAGGAAGGAGTATTCCAACCTTCTGCTTCTAAGTAGGAATCCAATTTCGCCTCCTCTGTAGAAAAAAATTTGGACTGCAAAAATTACTATTGAATCTTGCAAATGTATTGTACGTAGCAGTAATTAATAATTTGGCTTGAACATGTAAAATTTGAACTTTTTATCCCAAGCAGAAATTATCACCCGAATAAAATTTGACAACATTGCTCATTGCATTATCCTAGATTAGGCCATTGGCCAATTAAAAAGACCAACAAGCACTACATGACCGCCATTTCTACTTCTTTCCAATCTCAATAATTATACAACTCCCACCCCACCAGACCCCACCCCTCTCCCTTATGTATGGTCCTCCACAATTCATCCACTGTCGTCAAATCTATCTTGTCTTTCAACCTAATCGATTGTAATTTGCCCTTTAAAAAGATTTCGTGAACCGGTATTGACAAGTTCCTGATGGAGGTTTTTCGAATGTCGTTACCAGTAAGTCATTAGCTCTTTTTAGTTTCAAGCGAATGTTTGTGATTTTTCGAAGTATGTGCACTTAGCTCTCCGCCGATGAAAACCAATGCACTTTTCTCCGATCGAGTTTATTTTCACAAATATTTAGAGTAGAGAAACTGATTTCCGACCCAGCTCCAAGTATATTAATACTTTTCTCTCCAGTTGGTAAATTGTGAATTTTGAGAAACGGAATCCTTTTTCGTTAAACTTGCGGATCCTTTTGACTATAACATTAGCTTAATGAAATATAATGTATTTATTATTTTTTTTCTATTTGAGCTCTGAAAAAAATAAAATGAAATCTACTCATCTATCGATTGAAATACAGTAAATTTAATTGAAAAAAATGCATATATTTCAGGAAGAGATCTTGAAAAGTTTTATCACAAATCGACTCTGCTTTCTAGCAAAGAGGTGCTCAAAACATTTAAAAAGTATGTTGTGGTTCTTTTAATGGCAGATCACGTTAGCATTGAACCCTTTCAATAAGCGGCAAGCTCACAGTCCGAATTGCTGAAAGTCCGCACTTACCACTGTGTCACGAATGCATTGAGGGCGCTAAACGTATGATAGGGAACAAACGAAATGTTAGAGGATGACTAAGAAGGGGGTAGGTGTGTTGAGACGAATATCCACGGTAATTTTGGCAAGTCCGAAAAGGTGAACTTATTGTTTGCTAATTCGATGTGTGCATGGCAGTCAAAGGTTTACATTTTGGCCAAAGTAAGGGCTTATCCTAACTCACTTCTTCAATATCAATGGATTTGGTCGCTTGCAAATTTTTAAGACTGGCTAATGTTTATTTAGTGGATTACGCCAAACAAGCAGTGTGTAGTCCAAACCTTAATGAAACTCAAATTTGAACCACTTAAATTGACGAACCATAGTAACCTAATCACCAACAACTAGACAATCACTGAGTTTGGCGTCGTGAATTCTTGATCGATATTTAATTCAGATTTCCTGTAGCCTAATGCGTAATCAATTAATCATTTTCACATCTACTTTCTATTTACCCCGATTCTCCTGGGTCATAAACTAGTATCGATTTCCCATTTGTCATGCAGGCTTATTTATATACATTTTAAGTATTTCACTCTATTCTTTCATTATTCTCAAGTGCAATGTTGTGGTTCACTTGATTTCCTTTTGGTTGGGATGAATTCCCACATTTGCCACTATTTAGAACGCATCAATATAGATACTAAACATTGATATCGTATAAGCTTATTACAAGCCATTGGACAAATTCTCCACTTGAATTTTACATTCCTATTGCCAAGCGGACATTTCCGACCAAATAAAAATCGTAACTTTTCTCTTCACATTTCTTCACTATGAGGATGTTACAGTCCTCTCCCCGCTACATGTCTAGACTTTTGCTCACTCACTAAAGCCTATTTATTTGAATCCCTCATTTTCCAGGTAGCCTTTAATCAAAGAGGGAAGCATAAAAAGGCTAAACCTTGTTTGGCGTCTGGTCAGGCAGGAGTTGTTATATATGTACATATATGTTGATGGGCCACATTAGACGCCCATTTACGTAAACTCTTAAGCACAGAGATATTCTACTACTACTATTAATAAGCATGAAAAGGTTACATTTATTTTATAACATATGTGAATCAGAGTCTGCATCCTGCTGACTTTTTGGGAATGCGCAAAGACAGCTTCAAGCTGTGATGAAATTTGGTACATTTATCCACTAGCGAGAGAATTGAGAATGATCTTAAAACATGGAATTTATATATATATATATATATATATTCCTACAGGTTTTTCTCAGAATCATCGTATTTCTTATTGTCGGTTCCTTCTTACAGTCAATGTCAATCACAGCCTCACAACGCATTAACTTCATTTTTAACTCTGCCAATCTTTAGTGCCTTGATCCAATTATACCCGACACCCTTCTTGGTTATGCATATATTATTTACCATGGGGTGCGCGATAGACTTACCTCTACGTGGTGCACCCTGGGCAACGTGTACTCATACGACAAAAAAGTCGATTAACTGGAAGTTGACTTTTCACTTCAAACTACCATGACCCCACTGTATGTCATATTCCACTCTCATCTTACCGTTTCTCTACATTTGTGTCTGTCTGTCCCTTTTACATCCGGGAATCACTCTTCTGTTCCCTTTCTCGAATTTGTCACACTTTGATGTTCCTCCCCTCTTTGAAGCCCGAAGTCAACTAAAGGCTAATGATAACTATCAAAACGCCTGCCATTTGAAAAAAATTAATAAATATTATTCACAATTCTTAACCTTCTCATTCGGGGAAATTTTTCCTCTTATTAGCCATTTAAAAAATTCTCAGTTTCTTAAGAAGTTTTGTTTAATCTAACAATTGGTGTTTGCTGGTTATTCGTTTAAGAGAAATGCAATTTTATAATAATAAAAAATTAATTGACGAAACAATCAGTTAACAGTATTATCGGTTGTCGCATTGAATATGGTTTTTTCTAATTAACGTGCATCCTCTAATGTTGAACAATTTAATTCCAATAATTTTTTTAAAAAAAACTATTTTTTTTTATTTTTTCGTTTTGAAGAAAATGTCCAACTTTCGAAGCCTTAAAACTCCAGTGACATTACTTATGATTTAGGAATTTCAATTAATACATTGCTAGTTCTCAGTGTTTATGACTAAACCCTATTGTTTAAGCAGCAAAGAAAAGGGTTGCATTAACGATACATGCCTTATTATGAGGACCATCTTTTGAAAACTTATTTCTGTCTTTGTGGCAGAAATGACCTGCCCTCATTAACCTTAGAAGTGTCATTGATTTAACCGCTATATCAGGGCCAAAACGACTGCAGGCAACTGGTCAAGAAATTGAGGACTTGCTACGAAAACATTTGCAATCTCACAGTAATTGTGATAACTAATAGCTTATTGTTAAACTCTAGCATAATCTTCTTCTGGGACCGTGGGAATTTGGTGCAAATCCGTTTTTCTAGCCAATAAGCTGCAACTTGTAAGTATGGAAGTGACTGAGGTCTCTTAGTGTTGTATGCAAAGCTCCCAAAAAACGTTACAGTAAGGCTAATTGTTCTTGGTGTTGACTGACCTTGAGCACTGGCAACGATGATGCAGAGTTAACTATAGATTAAGAGAACAATGAACAACTGCAGATTAATATGTTATGTATAGTTAACAAGAATCGTGACGTTAGAAAAAAAACTTCATCAGACGTTTTGAAAACTGTGTTTATAGCATTATTTCACTTAAGTTAGCATAATTTACTTATTACATTAATGCAAGTTAATACTAATAATTACTTGGGCAAGTTTATCTTCATATTCCTAACTAATTTTGCACATAAATCGTAATAATCAATAATAATTATTTTTTTAATCAGAACAAAAGCCCGAATTCAATCAAATCTCAAAATTAAATTAAAAGAATTCGAACAAATATACTTAAATCTTTTGGCGAATATTGATTTCCAAATTACCTTTTTTGCTTTACAATAATTTCTCTCTAAGGTAAAATTTATGAAGCATGTGAAATTCAATGAAATTTTTTTAAAAAATCGTGTGAGGCATAGGCTCTTTCTGACTGGCTTGTTTTTCCCTATCACGAAGGAATGTATGTACCTCGCAAATGGAAGATTTGATTCAAAATGCTTGAATTTCTAGATTCAAAATTTTACGAAAATTTACTTTGGTAATGGGTTATACTTTATTAACTTTACAAAGGGCTTGCCATTTTGGAAGGAATATAAATAGTTTAGATTATATGTTTAGTTTTAAGCCCAAAACAGGTTGCTTGCATTCACTATATATTTGAATTGCGGGCTTTTTTCAATAACTGAGATATATGAAATATTTCCGAAATAATCGATCGATATAATTTTATCACCGGTTACTTTCTCCTTAAATTATTCGCCGTCAATTTATATCTCCGATATTTACCATAAAATCTTTCACGTGGAACACCAGATGTGAAACAGTTTAGTGATTGAGGGAACAGAACCCTAATTAAGAATCCAACTTTAGTTTTGTCTTCAGGGTATGTAAATGAACTGAGAACGCGAGATTCGGCTGATAGGTTGATAAGAGTTAAAGAGTAAGGATCGGTGTAGGTGTGTTCTTTATCGGCAGGGAGTGGGGAAATTCGCAGGTTGTTTGGGAGTAAAGGCAAGACCCCCTACCACTGGAAATTGCTCCATTTTAACGCAAACTTTAAAATATGACCTTTCACACCATTTTGTCAACCAATAATTTATTAAATATTAAAGTATTATTAAAGACTTTTATCAAATCCTTATGCTATTACAAATTAATCGGTTGAAGTGTCTCTAATACATTTACCTTTCGACACGCAGGTACTGACCCCTACCCCTTCCTTAAATGTCAATGAACACGGAAAGTAAAAGAAATTGGCTGCATGGTCATTACCTAATTTGCCCTGTTATTCACGAAACCCGTTTTCATTTGATCAATAAAGTTTTAGTAATTTTATGGCAGGCTTTGTGATATTTCTCATTAGCCCCTTAGTTGAATTTGACCTTTACAAGG